CGGATCTTTCGTGATTGAGAATTGTGTGATTAAAGATCGACAATGCAAGTGGTGCGTTATTTTTGCATGCCACTGTACTTTCCTAATTTCAAGTTTAATCAGACCGTGAAATTTTCAAGTCAAACCGGATCAAACTTCAATCGGGATCTCTGTGTTAAGATTGTTAGAATCAAAGTCATGTGTTTTCATGAATAAATAAATCGAGAGGTTCGCTCACAAAATTTATAGTGTATAACTATAACCACTCTTTTCAGCAATTTAAGTACATTATTCAAATCTGCTTTATCTTGATGGTATTTGTGAACTACATTATTTTTAAACACGTATTTCTCCTATAATGATTAGTTAATTAATTAATTACAAATAGATTCGTTTCATTCTAGTACAAAATCGACAAGGAAAAACACGTCTCTCGAAATGGTATGTACCATACGAGGATGAAGAAAAGATAAAACTCAAAGGCGAGGTACATCGATTAGTTGCACCACGTGATCAAAAGCATCAATCGAATTTTGTGGAAGTAAGAGATATGGATTTTATTGTTTGTTTTTATCATATCATTTAGATATTAACCAAACCAATGTAATATCTAAAAGTTTCGAAACCACAAAATAGTGTATCGACGATATGCCGGACTCTTCTTTTGTGTATGCGTTGATGCAAATGATAACGAGTTGGCCTATTTAGAAGCGATACATTTCTTTGTTGAAGTGTTGGATTCGTTTTTTGGAAATGTTTGTGAATTGGACTTGGTATTTAATTTTTACAAGGTATTTCTTTTAGGGAGGAAGGAACCTTTGGATTTTTTGATTGTATTGGATGAAGGGTTTATTATTGATTATTATCTTTGTTATAGGTGTATGCTATTTTGGATGAAGTTTTCTTGGCAGGAGAGATTGAAGAGACTAGTAAAACTATAGTGTTGACTCGGCTAGATCATTTGGATAAATTAGAATAAAAAGAGCATATATATTATGAAAAATTTATGGTGGATTACAGAACATTAATGGTATTTAATATATGCGATATTGGTGAATATTTGGATAAGGACTTATTTTTATTGTTACGCGTGTATTATATATACTATATTAGATTTTTTTGTATATTTATTTTACTTTGACATCAAATAGAGTCATTTGTTTTTGATCAATAATTAAAATATTATATGGCACTGGATATTTTTCACGGATAATTATCTACACTGTAAAATTCAGGACCGAGGTTTTTTTTAACAATAAATATAATTCAATTAAAATTTCAATTAAAATTTCAATTAAAATTTGACATTGCATAAAATAATTACTACAACTAATCAACAACTAGTGACGAAAAAACTAAGTAGCACATATATATATATATATATATATCTCACTAACAAGATGGATATTAGTAATACTATAGACGATCAACATTTCCTAAATCACGACAAGCCTATTGCACACGTTTCGCCATGCTTTTTTCAGCCTCACGAATAAACACACGAGGATCATAATGCTTTTTTGTTTGGTTTATCCAGACCTTCGGGGTTTCCAACTTGTGTCTGAAGATACCCTTTTTTAGATTCAAAGAAATTCCTTATACCTTCCCAATAAGCCCATTGAGTATCGGTATCAACATTCATTTTCACAACACCATAACTGACAGCATCGCTAATTTCCGTGGCCAATGATCCGGAACCACCATGAAACACCAACCATACAGGCTTATCGCTTTTCATCCCAGTCTTCTCTTTGACATACTCTTGATGTTTCTTTAAAAGAATCAGCGAGAGTTTCACATTTCCTGGTTTATAGACATCGTGTAAATTACCAAATGCTGCGGCGATAGTAAATAAATCGCTCATGGAGCTTAGATTACGATATATATCCAAACATCTTCAGGTTGTGTATAAAGTGCCGCATTATCCACACACCACTATTATCAACCCATCTTCCTCGCCACCAGTAATTCCGAGCTCCATTTCAAGCAAAAAATTAACCTTCTTCATACGTTCCAAGTATTTCTTAACAGATGGCAATATTCTCGTCTTTTGATTCCTCTGAAAGATCAAGCTGAACAAAAGGTTCACCATGTTGTACAAAGTATTCCTCATCCGCTTCTAACATTCCATCAAACTATGGAAAAAGTTTTTTAGCACAATGATCAGAATGCAAGACTACAGGACTTCAATTAATAATCATTAATAAGAGGGAAAACAACTGATATAAATTGTAAAGAAAAATATACATACATTCCATACTCTTTAGCAACGTGACGAACGTGATGAGCTGCCGAGATTGCACCAATAATAGAAGCACGTTGTCCTTCATTACTCAAACCTTTACCTGCATAAAACTGGGAACCACCTTGCGAGAGTTGAATAATAAGCGGTGCCTTAATGTCGCGAGCTGCTTCAAGTGCAGCATTAATAGTGGACGAGGAACTAACGTTCACTGCTGGAATAGCGAAACTATGTTCATGCGCATATTGAAACAACTTACGTACATTGTCGCCAGTAATAACACCGGTTGATTTTTTGAAGTTTCTCAACCAATGTGGAGATCATGGTGAAAATATACCGATCACGAAATCATGTGACACTTTCGGAACCCGGAAGCAGGGACGATGATTTTCTGCGGTGATTAAAGGTAAATTCCGTCTGCAATAATGTATAGTTTCTGCAATATTAAAAACTTGTAATTCTGCAATAATACTTTAGATTTTGTAATAATTCTGCAATAATAATTCGAATT